CTGCCGGGGGGCTTGCCGGGCCGGCCGGGCCGGGACAGGCGGCCGATTTCTCACCACAGACACCGCCGCCATGCTGGCCGCTCGCCCACCCCACTGGGGGCCCCACCGCGCCCCAGCCCCCCGTGGGCGCGCCAGCCCCGACCCGGGTAGGGGGTGGGGACTGGGAGAGAGGGTCCTGGTGTGGGAGGGCCCCGAGGAAGAGATTGTTTTGTGGGGGAGCTCCAAGAGAGAGGAGGGGTCGTGGAGTGGCAAGGCTTGGCATAGGGCAAGAGGACTGACACGGGAGAAGGCCCGTGGGGAGAGGATTTTGGTGTGATAGTTGCTCTGGAAGGGGAGAACTCTGTGATATTTGGGGAATTTACCTATGGGGGCCTTCTAGGAATGGGCACAGTTGTGGATTGACCCTGGTGTAGAGCAGTGACTGGAGAAAGGGCCCTGACAGGAAAAACGATTAGGGAGGGTGGGGGTAGGAGCCAGGGTAGGGGAGACGAGGACCATCCACTGAACCGTGGGAAGGAACGCTTCCCCCTTGCTTCCATCAGAAGGAGTGGGCCTTGATTGGGGGTGGGCGGGGGCTTGGAGTGATGTGGGGAAGGGCCCTGGTGTGGCATGGGGGAACTGGAATATGGTTTGGGAAATTACGGAGGGGTGGTCCCCAGTGAGAGGAAATGATAGGGAAGAGGTCTTAGCACCATATGGGGAGGGTCCCCTGGGAAGGGTGTACCCTGGTGGGTGAGAATGTCATAGGGTTAGGACCCTGTTGTGAAGGGGTCCTCAGATAACCTTGGTGTGATCAGGAGGTCCCTGAGGATCCTGCTGTGGTTTGGAGGGGGCCCAGAAGACTCTCATGTGGTTTGGGGGGATCTTAGAGTTCTCTGGATTGGGGGACCAACTGGGAAGGGTAGATCTTGAAGTGGAGGGACCTTGCTGTGGTAATATGAGGTCATGACGTTAGGGAAGACTACAGGATGGTGGGATCTTGTGTGAGGGGCCCTGGGGAGGGCCGTGAGTAGAAATGGGGAGAGAAGAGTGAACCCTACTGCCTATACTGTCTGTGGTTTCTCTCTCCTTCTCTTCCTCCCCTGCAATTATTCGTGTCTTTCTGTCCTTTCCCGTCATGGCCCACATCCCTGCCTGGCTCCCAATCATTCCCTTTTCCATGTTCCTCTCTTTGTGCTGCCTGCTTCATTTATTTGGTAATCATTTGTTGGGGACTCCGCTGTGCCCCGCCTCTGCCACTTCTCTCTGTCCCCTCTCTTCACTGCCACCTGCTGCTGTGTTGTACCCTTTTCTTCCTCACTCTGTGCCCTGGCTTCTCTGCGTTGTCCACCTCTTTCCCGCTTGGTACTGCCCAACACATCCCCTTGTTCCATGTTGTTCCCCCGCCTCCCGCCTGCTCTCAGGTCTCAGCGGCGGTGGCAGCCGAGGTGCAGGATGCGAGAAGGCGCCCCCCGGCCGGGCTCCCGCTCCAGGCCTCACTCCCCTGCGGCCCTCTGAGCCCACCATGGCCGTCCCACCGGGCCATGGTCCCTTCTCTGGCTTCCCGGGGCCCCAGGAGCACACGCAGGTACGTGTTCAGCTGGATCCTCACCTGCCTGGGGGTTGAGGGAGGCTGGGATAGAAGGATCTTGGGGCCGAAAAGATGGGTGGTTGCCCAAGACAGCCTCCCAGGAGCATGAAGGGTGCCATGGGAGTGGAAGGTATAGAGGAGTTGCTGGCGGAGTCAGGGTTTGGAGAGCCTGGGTTCAAATCCTGGCACCATGGTTATATTACTTAGGTTCTCCATGTTTCAGTTTCCTGTTCTGTCAAATGGGGCCTATAATGATACCTACCTCACAGGGTTGTTGTGAGGATTAAACAAGTTAATGAAATGCAATTGGAAATGCTGAGGACAGTGTCTGGCACATAGTAAGCGCTCAATAAATGTGCATTAAGGGGAAAAAAAACTCCAGAGTGAAAGATCTGGAGGGGTTGAAAGGGAAGAAGGTTGAGCTGCAGGGTCCTGGAGCCAGCAAGGCCTGGGGGTGCAGGGTGAAGACCTTCAAGGGTGGACTGTTAAGGCTCTAAACTGTAGAGCTGGAAGCAGGATGGAGTAGGTGGTCTAGGGTGCTGGACCCAGATCCAAGATCCTTAGGATGAGAAAACTGATCAAAGATGCACAGAGTGGGGGGTGAGGGTTAGGAAGGCCCCAAGGGATGAGGATACAGCAAGATAGGGAGCTCCTCAACATGGGATACCCAAAATGGATGGTCTCAGGTGAAGGATTGGGAGGGTCAGAGCCCAGGTTTTCTATCCGACCTCACCCACTGAGGTTTAGAAAAGAGTAAAGGTATGTGATGAAAGATCAGGGGTAAATAGTTCACTTCATTCACTCAGCAAATTTCTAATGAACACCCGCTATGTGCCAGGCCTGCTCCAGGCACGGGATATAAAGCAAGAGCAAGGTAAAGTTTCTGCCCTTGGGGAGTTTCTGTTCTAGTGGGGTTGTCAGACAGTGGCCAACTAAATAATGTGTGTGGAAATGATGCACCAGCTGCCCATGCAGTTCTCCCCCTTGAAGTCAGAGGTGAAGGCCTGTCCTCAGTGCTCACCCGTCACCCCGCCTCCCCCAGGTATTGCCTGATGGGCGGCTACTGCCGCGGAGGCTGCCCCTGGCCTTCCGAGACGCGACCTCAGCCCCGCTGCGCAAGCTCTCCGTGGACCTCATCAAGACCTACAAGCACATCAATGAGGTGGGCAGGGGGTGAGGGACACCGGCTGGGTGCTGAGGGGTCCTGGCATCGGTCACTCATCAGTCCTCGTCTCCCGGCCGGCCGGGCAGGTATACTATGCGAAGAAGAAGCGGCGGGCCCAGCAGGTGCCACCTCAGGACTCGAGCACCAAGAAGGAGAAAAAGGTCCTGAACCACGGTTATGACGATGACAACCATGACTACATCGTGCGCAGTGGCGAGCGCTGGCTGGAGCGCTATGAGATTGACTCACTCATTGGCAAAGGCTCCTTTGGCCAGGTGCGGGATGCCCCCCACCCGACCCTGATCCAGGGGTTAGGAGGTACGGGCACCCACTGATATTGACCCACACAGCCAGTGTGGTTCAGTGGCTTCAAGTTCCGTGCTGGGCCACTCACCCCAGTGCAATCACTTGGTTACCTGTGCCTCAGTTTCCTTTTCTGTAAAACAGTGCAAATAACAGGACTCTCCACATAAGGTTGTTGTGTTATCTCATAGCCAGTGTTTACACTCGTGTCTGACTGTTGGTGAGCACTCCAGCTGAGTTATTAGTGTGATGGTGATATTGGTGGGTCTCCTTACTGGAGGGAGAAGAGTGGTGGTACCTGGCTCCGTCCTCCACGCCCCCATCCCCTCACTTTGTGACATGCCTGTGGTCACAGGTGGTGAAAGCCTATGATCATCAGACCCAGGAGCTGGTGGCCATCAAGATCATCAAGAACAAGAAGGCCTTCCTGAACCAGGCCCAGATTGAGCTGCGGCTGCTGGAGCTGATGAGCCAGCATGACACAGAGATGAAATACTATATAGGTGAGGCCTGGGGCAGAGCCGCCTGGGGATGGGCCACCCTCAGTACAGGAAGGGGCTGGTGTCCTCAGGGCGGGCTTTGGTCTGTAATTCCCTGACATCAGAGATTTCTCCTGCCGCTTCCAGGATGTCTACCCTCTTCACATGAGAATGCTGGGCAGAGTTTATCCAGTGCTCACTAAGGGTCATGCTCTGTTGTGAGAACTTTACATAAAGTCACTTGTTTAAGTCACACCGAAGCCCCATTATCATTGCCCACAGCTTTTGGAGATGAAGAAACAGAGGCACTTAGGTGCTGTCACTTGCAGAAGGTCACGGTGTTTGTACTCAGTAGAGCTATAATCTGACCAGGCAGTGGACTCCAGAGCCTTTACTCTTAACATCTATGCAGTCTTTTTCCTCTTTCCTGTACTGATTCCTCTTAGAAAAAGCAAGTGAATTTAAGGAGTGCATTTCTTTTAAAAGGAAAATATACAACCTTACAGTAAATGGAAAGCAAGCATCCCTTGTCACAAAAATAAACAGAACTGAGACTAAAACAAGATTATAAAATTAAATGAGGAAGTGTAGGATGGTGTTAAAAACCCATCAGCACCAAATGGAAACTTTCTCTTTGGTTTAATCAGGAAGTTTGACAGAGACTTGAAAAGAAAATTAACTTCCTGTGTGAATCAAGTTATAGACATATAAAAACATCCTGATTGGCAGCTGGTACCTGTGGGGACACCACAGTTTGGCCTGTGCTCCAGAAGCAGAGACACAGATCTGGTTCCAGCCTCTCTCCTTATGAGCGTGGGCCCCAGGCCGCTGCTGGCCCTCTCTGAGCCTCAGTTTCTTCTCCCTCGGCCCATTTCCGTCCTCTTCCCGGCAGTGCACCTGAAGCGGCACTTCATGTTCCGGAACCACCTGTGCCTGGTGTTCGAGCTGCTTTCCTACAACCTATACGACCTCCTGCGCAACACGCACTTCCGTGGCGTCTCGCTGAACCTGACGCGGAAGCTAGCGCAGCAGCTCTGCACGGCGCTGCTCTTCCTGGCCACGCCCGAGCTCAGCATCATTCACTGCGACCTCAAGCCCGAGAACATCCTGCTCTGCAACCCCAAGCGCAGCGCCATCAAAATCGTGGACTTCGGCAGCTCCTGCCAGCTTGGCCAGCGGGTGCGGCCCCGGGGCGGGGCCAGTGGTGTGGGTGTGGCCAGACTGTGGGCGGGGGCAACTGGTGGCCTGGGGCCAAGGGGCGAGGCTAGGAGGGGATGGGATCGTAATGTGCAGCTTGAAGTGGCTGATGCCTGAGGGATAGTGCTTGGGATGGGGGTGTGTTGCGGGTACGGAGGGTGGGGCCAGTGGGTGAAGGAGAGGGCCACAGGGTATACTGCTGGAAGGAAAGAGGAGTGGAGCCTGGGAGAACAAGCCAGTTTTGAGGCTGCCAGATTGTAGGGGTGGAGAGGGGGAGTTGGGTGGCTTTGAGCCTGGCGTGGCAGTTTGCAAAGTTTTGTTTACTCTGTGCTCTTAAAGCTGGGGATGGAAGGGGGTGGGGCTCTTCAGCTTTGCAGCTTCCTGTGAGCTGGCATTTAAGATGATGCTGGTAGTGGTTTGAAAAGTGTCCAGTTGGGAGGGTGGGAAGGGCCTAGGTTTACAGACTCCCAGCCTCTGGTGACCAAGAGGGGCTCAGGATCAGGCCAGCAGAAATGGAGATCAGGATCAGATTAGGCCAGCAGAGTGACTCCTGGAAGGCTGGTGTTGATGACATCAGGGTTTGGAGACCCCCGTCCCCAGTTTTGGGGGCAGGAGACCTGTCCTTAGTCAGTCCTCCTAGCTGTGGGGGTGTCACTGGTGCGAGTTGGGGAGGCGGGACCTCTGACTATTGCCCTCTCTCCTCCCCCAGATCTACCAGTACATCCAGAGCCGTTTCTACCGTTCGCCCGAGGTGCTCCTGGGCACACCCTACGACTTGGCCATTGACATGTGGTCCCTGGGCTGCATCCTGGTGGAGATGCACACTGGAGAGCCCCTCTTCAGTGGCTCCAACGAGGTGTGCTCCTGAGGAGGGGGTGTGCTGGAGGGGGTGGAGGCCTGGCCGGCCTGATGATCCTGACTGCCTGCCTGCTCTCAGGTGGACCAGATGAACCGGATTGTGGAGGTGCTGGGCATCCCACCAGCCCCCATGCTGGACCAGGCACCCAAGGCTCGAAAGTACTTTGAGCGGCTGCCTGGGGGTGGCTGGACCCTGCGAAGGACAAAGGAACTCAGGAAGGTGCGGCCCCTGCCCCATGCCGCTCCTCCTACCCCGGTGGCCCCTCACTCTCACACTTGGGGCTCCCTCCTCCCTCTCTCCCTGCTTCCCCTCCCTTGTGTCTTTCCTTTCCTTCCTCTTCCCTCCACCCCGTCTGTCCTTTCCTTCCTCCCCCACCCACCCCATCTCTCCTACTACCTACCCCACAACTCTTCTTAGCTCCTCTCTTTCCACATTCTCTCCTGTGCCTCTGTTTCCCCGTGTGTGTCTCCCTGCCCCTCCTACCCACTGACGGCCACTCTCTTGCCCCCCCTCCCACCTCCCCCTGCCAGGATTACCAGGGCCCCGGGACACGGCGGCTGCAGGAGGTGCTGGGCGTGCAGACGGGCGGGCCCGGGGGCCGGCGGGCGGGGGAGCCGGGCCACAGCCCCGCCGACTACCTCCGCTTCCAGGACCTGGTGCTGCGCATGCTGGAGTATGAGCCCGCCGCCCGCATCAGCCCACTGGGGGCTCTGCAGCATGGCTTCTTCCGCCGCACGGCTGATGAGGCCACCAACACGGGCCCGGCAGGCAGCAGTGCCTCCACCTCGCCCGCGCCCCTCGATACCTGCCCCTCTTCCAGCACCGCCAGCTCCATCTCCAGCTCTGGTGGGTGCTCAGTGCCAGATGGGGTAGAACAGGGGTCGGGGCAGCTCTGCTTTGGCCTGATCTGGGGGGGACCTTGTCACTGGGCCTTCACCTAGAGCTATGAAACTGCATGATCCTCAACTCCAGAATGGGTGGGGTAGGCGAGCTCAGACTGGCCCTGATTTGGTCTCTGAAACTGAGCTTGGGTTCAGATCTCTAAAACTGGTTCTGACTCTTTGACACCCCAAACTGAACTCTGACCCCTGATCTCAAAATTGGGTCTGATCCTTCGACTGGGTGCTGGCCCCAAAGCCCAGACCTGGGCCGGGACCATGAACCAGACTCAGCCACCTGAAAACTCAGCCCTACCTTTCCTCGCTTAAGGCCTCTCCTCTTTTCCCCTGGCACTTCCAGGAGGCTCCAGTGGCTCCTCCAGTGACAACCGGACCTACCGCTATAGCAACCGATATTGTGGGGGCCCTGGGCCCCCCGTCACTGACTGTGAGATGAACAGCCCCCAGGTAATGGGACCTTGGGGACTTTGGAAGTGGATGGTGGAGTGTCTGGGGCTTCAGGACCTAGGTCTCCATCACCAACTGTTCCTTTGCTCCTTTAGGTCCCGCCCTCCCAGCCACTGCGCCCCTGGGCAGGGGGTGATGTGCCGCACAAGACACATCAGGCCCCTGCCTCTGCCTCATCACTGCCAGGGGCCGGGGCCCAGTTACCCCCTCAACCCCGATGCCTTGGCCGTCCCCCGTCACCAACCTCGCCACCACCCCCGGAGCTGATGGACGTGAGCCTGGTGGGCGGCCCTCCGGACTGCTCCCAGCCTCACCCAGCGCCTGCCCCCCAGCACCCGGCTGCCTCAGCCCTCCGGACTCGGATGACAGGAGGTCGTCCACCCCTCCCACCCCCTGATGACCCTGCCACTCTGGGGCCGCACTTGGGCCTCTGTGGTATACCCCAGAGCACGGCAGCCAGCTCATGACCCTGCCCCCTCCCTGGGGCCCCTCCTGAAGCCATACCCCCCCCCACCCAATCTGGGGGTCCTGGGCTCCCATCCTCATCTCTCCCCTTGACTGGAATTGCTGCTACCCAGCCGGGGTGGGTGAGGCCTGCACTGATTGGGGCCTGGGGCAGGGGTTCAAGGAGAGGGGTTTAGGCTCACCTCCCCACTAAGGACTGGACTCTTGGTCCCTTCTCTCCCCTTGTTTTCTATTTATTGTACCAAAGACAGTGGTGGTCCAGTGCGGGGAGGGGGAGATTCCCTCTCACCCCAGGGCCCTAGGAGGGGGTGGGGGCAGGTAGGGGGAGATGGCCTTGCTCCTCCTTGCTGTACCCCCCAGTAAAGAGCTTTCTCACATTCCCGCCTGAGCGTTTGCAGGCCCTCGGCTCCCCTCACCCAGCCCTCAGAGGCGTGGTGGGGAATGGTGTTTGGGGAAGTGGGGGGGGGGGCGGTGCTGGAAGACCTTTGTCGTGTGGGATGGGTCCCTGGTCCCTGGGGAGGTTATGGCTATTGATGCAGGCATGGGACTGCGGGAGGTCTGGGGCTGTGGAAATCTAGACAGAAATCCTGGATAGGATGCTAGCTCACACTTGCTTTTTCTAGGGTACACTGAGACCTTGAAAGGTAAAGGCCCAGCTCTGGCCTGTCTCTGGGAGACATCAGATTCTGCCCTAATAAGCCAGGGCTTCCACAGAGTCTGCACAGGCATGGCTCATTTTGCCAGTCATCCGGTAGGTGCTGAGTGCATGTAGCAGGCCTTATTGGTGCCGCCTGGGGAATGGCAGGCAGGCAGTGGGTACAGAATTTACCCCCCCACCACCACCACACGTCTTGTCTCACTCTTCGGAACCATTGTGGAGCAAAGCATTTTAAGATTTTCAGGCAAAAAGTAAGTCCCGGGGTTCTAGGTAAGTGGGCCTGTTTCCATAGTAATTTGGAAACTTCTGTCTCTAACCGGCCAATCAAGAGCCGCCAGGTTCAAATGGTATCGTCCCCCGCCACCGGGGCGCGGGGCTTCCTGGGAAATGGAGTTCTATTTGGCAATTTCTTCTCCCCGTTTTCGTTGCTGAACTACAAGGGCCAGGATTCCTTTCGCTCACATGTTTAGTGGCGGGTTCTCAGGTAGCCAATGGGAAGTCAGAAGCAGCCGGGGCCCCGGATGCTTAAGGCGGGCTGTAGAGGAGGAGAAGGCCGTGATTGGGTGGCTTTGGCCAGACTCTGCGGGAGTATTGAGTTCTAAGTCTTGCGGAAGGTCGGTGACTGCGCTGTGTCGGGAGAGCGTGCAGGTTTGGCGTTCATAGTTACCGAGCAGGAGGTAAGCGCGGAGGCCCGAAGCGGCCCCACCACGTTGGGCGTCACTAGCCTCTGTGTTGGGCCCGGCTCGCGGGGAGCCCCAGTCAATAGGAGAGACGGGCAAAGGCCCCGTTACGGGCCTGCATGTGTTCGCTAACGGAGGCAGCGTGAAACGCGGAGAGAACCCAGGCCCGGCACCGGTAGGGAAACCTTGCCGGCGGGGGACGGGGGTGGGGGGCGAGGTGCTGTCTGAGCTGAGACCTGAAGACGGAGGGACGTTTGGGGGTGGCGGTGGTGCGGTGGAATGGCTTGCGCAAAGGCAACGATGAGAAATAGCCTGGTGTGTGAATGACCTGCAGGTGATTGGTGTTGGTGGAAATCTTCCTGAAAGTGCTGTGTGAGTTAGATTGTGGAAGATTTTGTTGGCTCTTTAAGGAGTTTGGACTTTGTCCTGAGGGCAGTGAGGAGCCAACGGAGGGTTTTCCAGAAGGGAAGGGGCCCAATTTGCTGCCAGCTGGGAATAGATTGACGGGAAAATGACTAGCGTCTGGGAGCCCAGGATGGCAGCTGTGGTATCCTAGGCAGGAGATGTCGGGGATGCAGCAGGGCAGGGGCCTTGGATGGGAGGGGAGGATGAGTGTCTGTGGGGGAGACTTCCAGAAGGCTGAGTTCACAGGCTGTGTGGGAGAGGGAGGCGAAGACGGGCGCGAAAGGGGTCTCTCCGGCACTGTGGGACGGTGCCTGACATATCAAAAATGATTATAAAACTTTTTATTTGAATGAACGGTCATAGGAAGCAGGCACTACTATGATCTCTCTTTTGCAAATAAGATTACTAATGGTAGAGAAAATTAAGTAACTTGCCCAGGATCACATGGCTAGGAAGTGGAGGGCTCAGGATTTGTGTGTGAACTATTGACTTAGCAAGGTGCAGGATGAACCTCAGGACATAAGCAGGAGTCAAATCATGTGGGTCCTGTGAGGAATTTATGATGAGCATGGAAATATATATTCCCAATTTCTATTTCTAGCCCAGAACCCCTCTCCTGGCCTGTTGACTGACTGCCAACATGATAATCTCCTCCTGGATATCTAGAGATATTGAGAGTAATCTTTACGAAATTGAACTCCTGGTTTTTTCCCAAAAACGTGTACCTCCCACATTCTGCCACCTCCATTCTTGTAGTCCTTCAGACCAAAAGCTTGGGAGTTGTCCTTGGTTCCCCTCTTTGTCTTTTATCCATGTCTGGTCCATCAGCAAATACCTTCAAAGTATATTCAGAATCGGACCATTTCTTCCCACCTCCACTCTTGTCACCCTGGCCCTGTCCACCCTTATCTCCTGCCTAGACCTCAGTGGTCTATTTGCTCCCCACTGTTTCTCACATGCAGCCAAAGGGACACTGTGAACACCTGGGCCTGGTCACATCCCTCCCCTGCTCGGTACCCTGTGGCTCCATCTCACAGAAAGTAAATGCCACGTTCCTCTCCATGGCCCGCAAGGCCCTGCATTATCTGTCCCTGTTGCCTGTCTGACATCATCTACTCCCTTCTCCTTGTTCCCTCTGTTCCAGCCACACTGGCCTCAGGGCCTCTGCACTTCCTGTTCTCTTTATGTTGAACACTCTTCTCCCGAATAGTCAAGGCTCACCACCATCTCCTTTAGGTCTTTACTCAGATGTTACTTTCTCCTTGAGATCTTTCCTGACCACCCTTCTAGAATGGTGCCACAAATACTTGTATCTGGGCTTCCCGGGTGGCGCAGTGGTTAAGAATCCACCTGCCAATGCAGGGAACACGGGTTCGAGCCCCGGTCCGGGAAGATCCCACGTGCCGCGGAGCAACTAAGCCCGTGCGCCACAAATACTGAGGCCTGCGTGCCTAGAGCCTGTGCCCTGAAACAAGAGAAGCCAAAATGCAGTGAGAAGCCCGTGCACCACAAGAGCAGCCCCTGCTCGCTGCAACTAGAGAAAGCCCGCACACAGCAACAAAGATCCAGTGCGGCCAAAAATAAATAATTTAACAAAAAATTCATATCTGTCTTCCCTTTAACTTTTTCCTTAGCATTAATCATACCACTGCTTAACACGTTGCATAATTTATTTATCTTGTTTATTGTCTGTCCCCCCCCCCCCCCGTAGTAGATTATGAGCTTCATGAGGGCAGGAGCTTTTGTCTACTCCATGCTAACACCTAGAAGAGCTCTTGACATGTAGTACAGGCACAATAACTATTTACTGAATGGATGGATGGATGATTTCAGTAGTACAATTCCTGATCCTAGCATTCTAGGGACTCTGTTGATCCCCTATGCACAGAACCTTAAGGGGCTGCCTTCAAGTTTTCTGAGGTCTCAGACATTGAACAAACATTTCATCTTGCCTCGGCTTTGTGCTCAGGATTGAGAATACAGCAGAGAACAAAACAGCTTCCCTGTCCCCAGAGAGCTCACAGTCTCCGGGGTGGAGGTTCAGATTGGCAGCTTCTCACGCAAATATGAAATTACAAAGAAAGGTAGAGTGTCATAAGAGCACCTGACAGGAAGTCTAATCTGGACCCTAGGAAGTGAGGTTTGAGGTGATAGGGTGGGCATTTACTCTGTTAAGAGCTAAGTGTGTGTGTGGTGCTGGGAACCTAGAGGCTGAGGGGGAGCAAGAGGCCAGACCATGTGGATCCCGTAAGGAGTCTGTGTCCTTTACCCCACATGCAGTGGCAAGTTGTGGAGGAAGTTTAAACGGCGCAAGCAGGCACGGTCAGTTCCGAGTGTTAAAACCTCCCTCAGGCTGTTGTGTGGGGACTGAGGGCTGACGGAGACAGACCAGTGAGGAGGCTGTGACCATGAGATTAAAACGGCTGCTGTTAAAGGCAGCCACGTGTTCTTGCCTGCTTCTCCCATGAAGCGGTGGAGTCTCCTCCTCCCTTTCTATCTGGGCTGGTCTGTGAGTTGTTTTGACCCACAGAATGTGGTAGAAGTGATGCTCTGAGGGTTGGGAGGCCTGAGCCTTAAGAGGCCTGGCAGCTGTGCTTTTTTACTCTCTTGGAGCCCTGGGCTACCGCGGAAAGAAGTCCAGCGCCCCCACTGGAGAGAGATGTGGAAAGAGAGAGGCCCAGTCATCCCCCAGCTCTTCCACCGTTTTAGCCGATGTGCTAAATCACACGTGAGTGATGCCATCTTAGATAGTCTAGCCCAGCTCCCAACTGACACCATGTGGCGTTGAGATGAGCCATCCTGAGTCAGAGCCTTGTCCAAACTACAGAATCAGAAGCAAATAAATGGTTGCTATTTTAAGCCACTGTGTTTTGAGGATGACTTGTTACCCAGCAATAGCTAACTGAAACAAACGAATGTTTTTTGAGATCTTACCATCTTATGTATTAGCTCATTTAATCCTCATAGTCATTCTATGTGGTAATATTATTATTGCCTTTATATGTATGAGGGAACCAGGGCACAGAGAAGTTAGTGGAGTACTAGCAAGATACCTGACACATAGTAAGTGCTGAGCATGTGACAGCTATTAGCAGCAGCATGTTCCTCAGCCTTAAAATTTCCATAATTGTTAGAGAAGTGATAGTAAAAGGAATTAGAGCGTTATTAACCTAGTTACTAGTGGTATGATTTTAAATAAGTGACTTCACCTTTCTGAGGTTCAATTTCTTCACTGTAAAGTGGAAATTATAATACTCTTCATCTCAGAGGACTATTGTGAGGAGCACAGGGTCTGACGGGGGGCAAACATCTAATATACAGCAGGGATGATAATTACAACAGAGCATGTATCCAAGTGTGTTGTGGCCACAAGGATGAAGCTATTTTCTTGGAAGGCCTAGTGGAGAGACAGAAAGGCATCAGGTCCTTGGTGATGTTGTCAAGTGCTGGATCAGGCTTCACCTGAAATAAGTTACTTCAGGACTTTCTTATTAGGGAATCCAATAAATCTTTTTTTTTTTTTTAATCATTTAAGCCCAGTTAAATTGGGCTTTCTGTTACTTGGAACCAACATCCTGATTCCTGGGTTCTGTTATTTGTTGCTTCATCAGATATGGAATACTGTTTAAAGTAG